CTTTTGAACTGCTAGATTGGCAGAAGCTGGGACAAGTTAATGGGAGCTCACTCCATTACACTGTACTAAGGATTCGAACCGCCAACGTGCCAACCTTTCTGATCGACAAGCTCAGCATCTTAGCCACTGAGCCACGGTGTCCCTAGAAATATATGGTTTACTATAAAGTAAACCATAGTTACTACTTAGTCAACACAGCTGAACTTTTGAGATTGCCTAGGCATTTTATTTTACCTCAGAAGAACTGTTAAGTTTTTGTATGGGGAAAAAATTCACTGGGGCTGAAAAAAAAGAGAGGAAACCACAGGGTTTTCTGAGCCAAAGAATTTGTGAAAGTGACTCATGAAGCAGATAAAGAAGGCAAGCGCCTGAAGCAGGCGGAGGCAAACAGCTGAGAAATATTACCGAAAAGAGGAAAATAAGCCCGGGTCCCTTCAATTCTCCTTTTTGGCAATGAGTCAGGTTTGAGGGACAAAATGTGATGCTGAGCATAGGTCAGTGTGAAGATAGCACCTGTTAGGAACACTTTATATCATTTCCCAGTATCATGAAGGAGAGACACCTTTTGCTTCAAGGTGTTTCCAACTAGCGCTACATTCTCACATCCTCCTACACATCACCTTTTGCCCCTCAAATCTGGCTTGCTGCATAAACCAGCTAAATATTCTTTTGGTCTGATCTCACCAGCTGGACTCTTCTTGGGTTTGGAATCCTACAAGAGTGGAAAGAAGACAAGAAAAAGCAGGAGAATGTTTTCAGTAAAGGGGAATGAAAAACATAAGACAAGGCATTTGCACATAGATATGTAATAGCAATAGCAATAGCACTTAGATTTACATACTGCTTCACAGTGCTTTACAGCCCTCTCTAAGATGTTTACAGAGTCAGCCTATTGCCCCCAACCATCTGGGTCCTCATTTTACCCACCTCGGAAGACTGGAAGGCTGAGCCAACCTTGAGCCCGGTGAGAGTTGAACTGCAGCTAAAATGCTTCTAAGATTCAGGATGCAAGATTGTGGTTGCAAAATTGGCGATAGGCTCCACACATTTGGAAGAATCCAATAATCCCATATAGATTACACATACTACCAGCGGGCCAAAAATGTTTTGCTGCTTAAGATTCAAGCCAAGTCTCAGAAGGTCAGCTAGATTTGCTGCATGGAAGCTGCCATCGGAGGCACAGGTCTCACAGTCTGATGGTCACATCTGGAATTCTGAGATCATGTTGTGGATGCCAAGAGGGTCTGGGGCAACAGTAAAAATAAAAAGAAGAAGAGTTTACACCGCGTCCAATAGATTGTGTGGTTGCATCCACCATTTCACCTTTCAGATTTTCTTGCTGATTTCTCTCATAAAAAAAATTGCCCTGATGAATTTTGTATTCACACAATGGCTGCCAGGAAGAATGTGGCCAGCTGAAACATTAATTTACTGGAAGACAGGCAGGCAGGATTACTTCCAGCAACCTCTTTCTAGCTCTCAGAGATGCTCTTGGCATCTCTTATCTTATGCTGCCCCTTCCTCCATGTGTTACTTGATTCTTGGTGACTGAATATTATCCCACTGAAGGTGACCATATCCTATTTTGCCCATTGAGGACAGGATGGAGAGAAGATACATTCCAGCAAACTGAGGAAAGCAGAGACGGGTCAAAAGATCTTGACTGCTGGCCTGATAGGTTTGCCATTTTCAGTACTTGCTGTTAAAAATAGCAATTTTCAAAATCAAAGAGATCCTTTCAAAAGATTCCATCTCTTCTTGGGCTTAATTCCAGTCCAAAGACCAATTGCTCCACTGCGTCATCCTTCCCAGCAGCCACTCCGGTCAGCCTAAAGATCCAGGAAACAAGCTGCAGAGAGAACAAACACCCCACTTCGGGGAACTATTCCTTCCAGAAGCCATAATCCTGAAGAGTCTTTCTTCCAGCTTTCTTAGAAGTCTCAGAATTGTCAGTGAATAGCATGGATAAATCTGTAATGCTGGGTGCTAAAAGAGGATGCATAGCTGATTTTGCAATGACACATGGGGTCCTCTAAGAGCCTATCAGCTAACGAGATATTTCTGCATGGTGTCATAAGGCAAAGAGTAGCAGTAGAAAGCATATCTGAGAATTAGAAAGGGTTCACTGGGGGGGAAATAAATCCTGCCTGTTTGTCTTCTAGTAAATAGGTGTTTGCAGCTGACCATTTTCCTCCTGGCAGCCAGGTACAAATTTGCTAGTGGCCCTGATTTTTGGAAACGGCACACTTCCCGTTGCAGAAGATGTGAACCGAGCTTCACATCTGCCCTGTGAAGTAGGTTGGATTCATGAGGAAGTTGGAGGTGGGGGTGCAGCAATCTGTGCTGCTTTCCTCCAGCAAAGATGCAGCCATTTCTGCATCTCTCCACATCCAGCATTTTCCTGCTCAACGAGGCAATGTGCCATGGTCTCTTGGGCTGGGTGGGAAATGAGGAGGAGGACTGGAAGGAATTAATCCAGAGCCTGGGTTGGGGCTGGGGCGTTGGAACTGCAAACCAAAACCCCAGAGAATCGAATTCAAGAGAGGCAGAGTGAACTGGGCCCCAGAGGTAATTGGCAGATTGAAGCAGGCAGATGGCCTTGGCTACCACTGAGGCTCACAGCTTCTTCAGCAGCAGAGAACCCAAACAGATGCTCTGCCTTTCCAGTTTGTTTGCCAAGACAACACCCAACACTTTATGTATTGCAAATGCTCTTTGACGAATAAAGTTGTTACATACTGACAGCCAGTATGGTAGTTTCCACCAAGGTCCGGCGGGAACAATACTCAAATGTGATTGGTCAAGAGGTCTGACAGCTCCCTATAAATGGGCTGCTGCCAGACAGAGGCTTTGCTGGATTGTACATAATTGTCACTTAATAAAGAGCTCTTGTTGCTGAAGCCTGAGTCTTGCCTCTTCCATTCACCCTAGTTAACAAAAGTCATTTGAGGGAAGAGCTCCCCGGGAAACGAACAGTTTAGCTGCACAAAATGCTGAAAAGGCTAAATTCTTTGTCTGCCACTCATGCTCCAGCCCCTGGCATGATGGTCCTCCTACAATACAAGGCTGGAACATCTAGCCTCCCTGCTGCTTGTGTCACCTCCAGATGTGTCGTCCTTCATCTCCCAGCCACTGCCAGGCAGGATGTGGACAGTTGTAGGCCAAAATATCCAAAGGGCAGAAGGTCACAACAGTTGTTTTGCACCCTCCCTTCTTTCCTATCAAATTGTGCTAGGATAGTGACAAAGCTAAATGTTTCCTTATTTCGCTCCTCCCCCCCCCCCCCCGGCCAGCGTGTTTTTTGTGGCTTGTGCCGCCCCCGCGCCTGCCCCCCCCCCCCCCCACCCCCCACCCCCCCCCCCCCCCCCCGCGCTAACCACCCGCCCTCGCTCCCATCCCAGCCGCATTTTCTCAGTGTTTCTTCATGTTT